TTGGCGGGAGCAGTAATCTCAGTAAGGAAGAGGTACGCAGGTGAAGACCTGTATTCCGACACCTTGCCGTCGAGAGTTATTCTATCACCCACAGCCAGATTCGTTCCAACGGTCCGCGAGAATACGTAGATAGATTCTGAAGTTCTAATGTCCGGGAAGAGTATAAAACGGCGATCAGAGGTGGGTGATCGGATCCATATACCGTCTGGACCTTTTGCAGTGACAATGCCGGTCACGTTTGTCACCGGCTGGTCTTTGTAGAGCGAAAGATACTTCTTGCCATTGATCTCGCTGATGGTTATGGCAGATGCTGTACTAAGACAGAGTGCAAACGTGGCAATTTGACGAAAACGGGTGAGGATCTTCATACTGGCAGCGGTCAGATAGAAGTTGAGAATATTCTTGACGTAGCCTGGTACCTGGAATGGCAACGAAAGAATGAGGAGCAAGCTTCACCCGCATCTTCATCAATAAGGGCTTCGTGGGGATGTTATAACATCGTATAGAAGCCGGAGCTGATCGTGGCAAATCTTCAGCCCCGATTTAATATAAACCGACGCTTTGAGCCACATAAATCATCAATTCATCGTCCTCACTGTCCTGTTCCTATCAAGCGTTCACGTTCCTGGATGCGATTACCGGCGTGAACGAGCTGGGTAAACTTGGCAACCTGTGGCGTTGCCCCTCGTGCAATTGTTGTTGGCTGCCAGTTTGAGTGAAGCTGAAGATCCTCAGCTTTATTTGAACTACCCAATATTATTATTAAAATGCTGAGATATGACCTTCTCATTTAGTAGTAAAAAAGACCATATCTCTCGAATGACTTTATCCTATGTAAGTTGAATCAAAAGAGCGAAACAACCTGGAATATAATGAAGAATGATGAAAAGGTCAACGACGGAGGGATTCCAGAGTTTCTCGGAGAGCAGGTACGGAGAAGGCAGGTGTGAAGTGGTTGAGGCTCCCTTGCTCTCCTTCCCTGCTGGGTAGCCTGGGTTTTAGTTCTCATCTTGAGCTAGAACCTCCAGCCGAGGCACACAGATTCCTACCCAGCAAGGAAGGTGCGAAAAAGGGGGGGAACGTCAACTTCGTGCGCTCCCATCATCACCTCAGGAGAACAACATGACAGGACATCCACCCGTGGACACCTCTTCCACCAGAAAGTGCCGTCTCATACAGTATTTGTCGAGACGTCATCATCATCATCATCATCATCATCATCATCATCAACCACAGAACTGTAACCTTATGGGAACGTTTCGTAAAGGCTTGGATTCCTAATTTCAGTCATGCATATTCGACTACCTTCGTCATCTCAGTTCGCACACACCCTTTGAAGGAAGCTTGCCTAGGTTTCCGAATACCGTAGTTCTTCTAAACGATAACTGAAAGCTTCTATAGTAGATGATGATACTCGTACTTCTGTTATGCCAACTTAGAAAGCCTATTATACGATTTGTTCAGCAAGACTATGAAGCCCGTGATGAATAATATTCTCGGCCGCGGTAGATTCACCAAGAACAGTTCCATTTCGAATTATGCCAATCCATACAATACTACTACTTTTTGGCCGCAATGTTCAGAATTTGAGGCTACGAGGTTTATATGGGACGGTTCATCCTAACGGGGCAAGCCACAATGCTTACGAAATACTTCCACTTTCCCACACATCCATAATAAGCACCAGTTGTGTAACATGGTGTCTAAAGAAACGCAAAGTACCCATGTTTGTGCTGTTCATTCATTGATTTCGGGGAAGTATTTCATGCGCTTACTGATGTTTGTCTTTGATGGAAAGCGGAGAGGGTTGTGATACCCTCATGTATAAATTAAAACCCCGCTTCAAGAATTCTTCAGCACATACAATCCTCTTTATATCATCTCTTCGAGACTTTCTCTACTATCTCTTTCTGCAGAGATGATCCTCTCACCTCTCATTCTTCTCATTTTCTCTCCACTATCTGCATATGCCACTCAAATCTTCAGCAACTCTGGCACCCTTAGTGGTTGGGCATATGTCCATGAGGAGCACAGCGGCTCTGTGCAGGAAGTGACCAATATCAACTACCAAGGTCCAACCGCGCTCAAAATGACCCAAATCTATGATGCCAACTACGGCGGTCGCTATCATTCTGAGGTCCGCATGACCAACGTCTATCGACGCGGTGATGTTGGTTTCTACGGCTTCATGTTTCGTCTGCAGGAAAGCTGGCAGTTCAGCCCGGCGCAGAGCTATAATCTCGCTCAATTCATTGCCGATTTTTCAGGAGAATGCGAAGAAGACTGGATGCCTAGTTCCATGATTTGGCTAGTTGGTGACAAACTCTACTCGCGCGTCAAGACCGGCAACGTTTGTCCAAAATCCGCACAGATTACCAACACTTTTGCAAACCTGGCAACAGTAACACCAGGAGTCTGGCATAAGATAGTAATTCAATCATCCTGGAAGTCCGATAATACAGGATATTACAAATTATGGTTTGATGGCCAGAAAGTCTTGGAAAGGTTCAACATTCCTACCACAGTCGCAAAGGATAATGCATTTGAATTCCGCGTCGGTCTGTATGCAAATGGATGGTACGATGATGGTGAAATGAAAGGAACTCAGGGTACGAGGCAAGTTTGGTACGACGAGATTGCGGCAGGAGCCACGTTTGCGGATGCAGACCCGGATCAATGGTAGATGAAGGGAGAGGTCAGAACAGGCCGATTTGACATGAATACAAATGTATTTTGGAAATAGGAAAATTCCTCTTCCTTGTCTCTAAATTCACTGTGTGGCTGGGTAAAGACTTTCGTTCGGGTTGTCGATAGCGTAGACCGTTATGCCTTTTAACAACAATCTAATACAATTTGACACACTGCAAAGATAGTTCACCACGTTCGACCATGTCAATTGCATATTCACCCATCAATCCGTGGATGTATGCTGCACAAACGAATACGTAGTGGTCTTCCTCTTTTCTAATGACTGACGGTACAGAGGATCCGATGAATATACAGAGCGAATCTGTCGGTTTAGCCGCGCTTGAAGTTCGACCTGTAAATCCTTTCGGAGAAACGAACACCGTTTTCATGGAGTTTTGGCGCGATAATGTAGCCTTTAGAGCTTTGGAAGCATCGTCTTCAACTGTTTCGCAATGTGAGAAGAATATACCGTTGACCCTTTTCGTAGAAACACCGTCATCTCTTGTCTTCTACCGATAGAGTTTGACGCAGAATGTCCTGTAGCGATTGACAAGTGCAACTACCTAACCTTCCTACTGAAGGAGGGAGACGTGATCCTATTCGACGTACTCCGTCCGCGGTCATATCCTGTATTGCAGCATTGTCTAAAGCCACTCTATCGATCATAACCACGTGAGTCCGGACACAATGAGGTCTGCTACTAGCATGAGGGAGAAATATAGGTCTGGCAAATTTCCCTCGTGAGATATTCATGAATTCTTTCGGTTGAGTCAATTGATACCCGTTCCCAGCAACAGACCAGTTTGGTACCCAAGAAGGCAGTTTTGGATGTCCCTTTCCATTATTTTCTGCATGAAGCATGATATCAAACCCCCTTTCATGAAGAATTACGTTTTTTGCTGCTTCGATGTAGATCCCTCCAACTGAAACCTCGGGACTGTAATCAGGTAGTACTAGAGCGTATTCTGCCAAACCCAAAAATGCATATACCTGATCACGTTCGTCCGAGTATTTACAACTTTGCGCATAGTCGATCAAGCTTTTGATGTCAATTCTTCCATCGGCCTGCCACTTCGCCCTGAGCAGATAGAGCTTCAAAAACCGTTGTATAGAGACGTCGAGTTGTCGAATAAATTCTTGCCCATCTATCGAGGGATTCTCTTCAACGGTAAGGCTCATGCCAATGAAAAGATCTCCTACGTATCTCATGAGTAGCCAAAGTTGATCCCATTCCATGATTGAACCACGCCACCAGATCCATAGGCTCTTTGACAAAACTATTTCCTGACAAATCCAAGCTCGTTTCCAGTACTCTTGATTAATAAATTCCATAAGAGCGTTACATAACGGAGACATCTCATTCATTCTGAAGGTGTGTCTTCCGAAGATATAGAGAAGCCCACGCGGCATAGCGCCGGTCCTGGGATGATCATAAGATTAGATTGGATTCGTCCACAATCGTATATTGTCGAACAGAAATGAGTCCACTTTATCTTCGCCGACGACCATAATAACAGTCGAAGCGGCGATGTATATTTCTCGCATAAGGCTGACTTGCTGGCCCCTTTCATCAAAATCGCTCATATTGATACATATTTGATCCATCCAGACAGGATAATCGGTACCAAGCCTTCTAAGTTCATCTTGAATGACGGTAAGACCTTTACTGACACTTTGGAAAACGTTAAATAGACGTCCATTAACATTAATCCGTGCAGTGTTTCGAGGATCTCCTGCGCAGTATGACAGAGCGTAGTACAAGGAACCTTGGTTATAGGAATCTTTTGCAGCATCTGGCACTGGATAATCCCTCGGTTGTTGGCAGGAGCTTTAAAAGACGGATTTCTTTTTGTTCGAAGTCAAGTGATACGTATTGAGACTCTTCGTAAAAACTGCAGTTCTCGGGAGAGAAGAAATTATTCTGCTTGCTATTAGTATTATCTTCATTTGAAGACATAACGACAAAACATCACAAATGAGTTGCGATGAAGTACACTCGATGATAACTGTTGTTAGTGAAGAACCCATGGTCCTGAAACTGAAGGTTGGGATTTGAAGGAAGTGGGTGGCGGCGACTAGGCTGCAGTTTTAAAGCATAGAAAATGAGAAGTATCTAGATCTATGGATAACAAGACTCTACAACCAATCCTGCAGTCATGTTATATTGGGGAGTATAATTTCGATGGTGGAATAGTTCGTCGGGTTATTTTTACTGGACTGTGAAAGTTGGAGATGGGGATTTCAAAAAAGCACATTTTGGGATATAAATAATGTTAGATATAAAGTAGAAATAAACCAATCACATCATTATTGGCTGAGTGGTCTAGTGGTATGATTCTCGCTTTGGGCTTACTTATACGATTTGCGAGAGGTCCCGGGTTCAATCCCCGGCTCAGCCCAAACATTAAAATTTGCTTTTTGCTTTTTATCATTCCTCTTGTTCTTTTGTTTGAAGGCCACTTATACATTCCTTTTTGGGAGATTTCTTTTTGAACTTGTGGGTTGGCTGGGAACATTTTTTTCCGGTCAAGTAAGCTCTTATGAATCGGATCTAGGATTAGAACTACGGTTACCGGAGCGGCACTTTCCGCAGTAGAACTATTTTTCGGTGGCCTGGGACTTAGACAAAAGCGACGCGACTGAAAAGCACAACGCCATGCTCCAAGCTTCATCGTCCTACTTCTCCATTCCAAGTGCTATCATTAAGCTGATCTATACTTTGGCCACCTCAATCCTTATAGTTGGCTGATTTCCTTTATACTTTCACATCCCTATTCCCCTTTCAATGCTCAGCTGAATCGAACTCAGCTACAATCGACCACATCCAGCTCCTGCGGTCGCGGATTCACATCAGCTCTGGTTCTTCGTGGTTCAAAAATTGAATTTCGAACGCAATTGAAATCATCCTTCTTTCGAGATAGTAGTAGTTCTAGCATTACTAAATCTCTGAAACCCAAAGTTAGGGACTTATCACCGATTCTACTACCGTGTAACTTCGATCTGCTGGACGGACTGTTCTAACTCGGACTCATAGTTGCTCAGCTATACCCTTCGCTCCCCATCGTAACCTAGAATCTATTTCCCGGAGGACGATTGACGATAACGCATACTATAAGAGCATTCTTTCGTAACCATAACATCCTACTTACGTTTTGTGACGAATCGCGCTACAGATCTCACATTTTCATGAATAACAAAATATTTCTGTGTTACTTTAACAGAAGGCCTGTTTGGTTGCAGATAAAGGAGAGGTCAAATAATCTGAATGGCGCAATGGTGGGACCACGACTTTGCAAGGTGGAATAGTACGAGTCCAGTAATACCTTCAGGCTCTCCAGTAATAATCAAGAAATGCATATTTGAAACGACGTAAGTTGAGGGAATAGTGCGAGGTGTCGTCGACATCTGTTGAGTGGGACTTCATGGTATCCTTCTTCCCTGGAACCCGTATCATCCTCACCATCATGGATAGCTTGACTGGGTATAATGATCGGAGATGAGCAAATCAATTCTGGCAAAGTTAGAAACTTATTGCAACAGCATGCTCAACTGGGCAACATGAGGTAACTGCTTTTCTATGGTCTACACCTCTGGCACGTTCAACAAAGTTCTGTTCAGCATATGGGGTACACGTAACGTAAGGTAAAGTAAGAAGTAAGGTTGGAGATTAATCAGGTAGTACTTCTCCGTTTTAGCCATTTTTTAGTCTCTCCATCTACTTGAAATACGGTAGTTCCACTCTCCTACGAGCTACACTCCTACCGCCTTATACAGGTAGGGAGGGGAGGTCAGTCAAATATAAAATTCAATGTAGAGTACAGTATATCTAAGCTCCTCTGCTCTCAACACCAACGGTCAGAGTACCATCGTGAGATCTTTAATTTTCCGATCATCACACGACAATCTTCAAGACTTTAACAAGGGAGAATGCAACATTTTAACTCATCAATCGGCGAATTAAAATATGTAAGACGAGGGAAAGACAATTCCAAATCCTTTTTCTTAGGTAGAACCTCCTCTCAGAAGTCCGCTGCGATCCTATCCCAGAAATGCGTTCCTCTAAATTGCGGCTAATATGCTCGAAATTAGTTGTGAGGTTTTGAGTGTTGGAGTTGCCTGATTCGATCCCTGCACCGACCAAGCGCCAGGTCCAAATCGCTTGTTATGAGGTCGATTTCGATATCAGAAATACAGCATCGTCGTCCTTTTTCGGCTACGACCGATGGAGCCTGGGAGGCGGAATACCTGCTTGCGCATAACAATAACCTTAAAAAAACAAGTGAACCTCAATTCTCATTACGGTACTGTACATATACGGAATTTTGCTACATGGAGAATAAGATACAGCTCGAGGGTAGAACTATCCCGTCTTAGGTTTGCATCCAATCGCTCCTGAGCCCTTCCGACTCCGATCTTCCTCACTACCCCGCATCCATATACGGACCCCTCTTGGACGTCGGGTACCTCCATCGCAATCCTACAATTAGATCCAACCTCAATCATTCCCCAGCGAACATATATTCTACACTAAAATTCTGATCGCCGAATAAAAAGACACACTCACCAGTTTCTTGCACTTGAACCATTATTTGTCATCCTACACTCAAGTCACTACAAAATGTTCTGGGAAAGTGCGGCCTGGGAATGGCTTCTATTCTTTTTCTGATACTCTCTCTTTCATCCCTGTCATTTGCCTATTACTGTTTAACATCAGGTCACATTCAACATGTTCATTGAGTTTAATACAAGTACTAATGGCATGGTGTATTCAGTTCAGACCAATGTTTCTGCATACTGGGACAATACGTATGTTGCAAGTCTACAAGCTTCCAATGATCCTTGGTGCAAAATGGTTGAAGGATTTCGCATTTCTCTGTCTAGATTATTTCCCATGCGGACCCATCGACTTGGTACCAAAATAGAACTTTTATTCACTTGGATGCTGTGAGTTGTAACATCACAGTGACCGGAGATTGGAGGTAGTCTGTCAACGCTCCGAGAGAGGAGGAGGATCGAATGTGGAATGAAACCCGCAATTGTTTTTGTCGAAGGCCATGGCAAATTTGAAAGATTAACCTGTTCTAGGTTTGGTTTCTTCAAGGAGTCCCAGCCATCCTCATGGTCCCAAACATCCATACACTATTCGTATGTAACTAAAACCTCACTCTCCCACAAAGAGCCTCAGAACTTTAATTCCACATCACATGTCCATCTCGAACCAACAAAGTAATTCAAATCAAATCCCAGGTATATCACTCGTCACGGAACCATCCCTGATTGCTATCATCTTCCCCACTTGCTCCCCGTTGGGCGTTTCTTAAGGATGCGGTATAAGATGGACTCGTAGCCTACATCACATTCACGACCTCACCCCTACGCAAATTGACACATCTCTTTGCTGTACCCCTTTTACACGATTCTTGCAAGCTGGTTTACAATTTCGTCTCACCCTGACGACCATTCAATCTCTAACATCAGCCATGCGCTTTCTTCTTTCTGTCCTCTTCTCTTCTCTCGTAACTGCCCTCCCTTCATCACTATCACCCGTGGACCTCAACGCTCGCGGTCCCGGCACCCGCTTCTCAACTCAATGCTCCTCCATCCGTCTCAATGGAGCGTGGTTGGTGGCAAATTGCCCCAAGGACAACGGGAGATCGTTAGAAAGTTCTATCTGGCTGGGCTCTTCGCTAGTGAATAGGGAGGGCAACTTGATCGTATGTTATTATATTTCGCTTTCTAAGTGATTCGGGGAGGCCGGAAGGTGTATTGGGAAAGGGGATGAAAGAACCTCTAAAATTCTGAATTGTGCTAACATTTATCCTTTTCTCGGAGTAGTGGGAGGTGAAGTAGGTTACATCTTTCATTCTCGATACATGGAATTCAGCCCGCATCAACCTATCAGGCTGAGTAAAGGAATTGAATGACAACTCTTTGAGATGGTTCAGCGCTCAGCCCGCATCGGCCTACCAGGCCGAGTAAAGTAATTAAATTACAACTCTTTAAGACGGTCCAGTGCAGTCCTAGAACACTGAACTTGTATTATGGATTACAGGCCGCTACTCTGATTGACCTACGAACTAAACAATGACTAACCGGTTTTAATCACAGCGGTGGCTTTCAAGGGTCGTGTTTTGATTGCAACCTGCTCCCCAACAGCGGAACACTCAATTGCACATGCCAAACAAGCTTTCGCCCAACAAGAGTGACGGCCATTGATCTAGGTATGTTAATTTTTAACAATTATATCATTTCCCTCCGTATCAATTTTCCACTTTCCATTTCCCGTCTTAATCACCCCACTTCAAGTTCTTTAGCTAACGCACACAAGAGGAACACGTCTTCAATTACAACGGACACCTCCTCTCCGATCTCGCCGGGCCTCCAACCATTCCCGCCGACAAGTCTTACCCTTTTCCAGCCAACACACTGTTCACGTTGCAGCCTAGCACAGAGACAGTATGTGGCCCTGGGTTCTCAATCACAAGCAATCGTCCCTGGCCCTGCTTCAACCTAGAGATCGTGCGAGACGGTTGGCTCGAGTGGCAGACGGCACGCTTTCTTGAGGAGGTCGATAACGGGAGGGGGAATCCTGGATATGAGGTCACAGCGTACGAGAGCAAGGACTGCGTCGGTACCCCGATTGGGCATATGAGTGTCCAGAATGCGACGCAGTGTCACACTTTTGCGGGTAAGGCGAAGGGCCTGGCTATCATACCCTTATGGAATTGGGCCTAAGGGATATCGGATTCCATCATTGCATGGAATGAGTGATTTTGAAGATGGGACTAGGGATCGTATAGATATAACGGAAAAGACACAGACAGAGACGCAGGATAGGGTAGATACCAAATTATCAAAACCTAATGCATTACTCGATCCTCTACCATGCAACACAGAAGTCCTGCGGGATATTGTGGATCCATGCCTTCCATCAAAGAGTTGTATGGCTAAGAAGGTCGCCAGAAAAAGCAAGAGCAGGCAGTGCCAGAGCGACGACATCATGGAGAAGGGGATCTTCAAAATTAGCGCATTCGGGAAATGTAGGTGTATTCATTATAGTAATAATGAATTGTGATTTTATGGGCGCCTTAAGTTGCTGAGATAAGGTTGAAATGAAAATGGTTTAATTACTCACGTCTTAGGTTATGTTAATAATATGATGGCCCGGCGCAGCATTATTCAAAGCGTGAAGCGTGAAGCGTGAAGTAGAAGTATAATAACAGATGACAACCGTAATATAGATGTCAGCGTTTACCTTTTTATAAGTTCTCTCAAAAGATCCTTCTAAGCAGGTGTCTCAAGACAACATTGCCGCTTTCTTGGTGGAACATGTTGCGAAAGATTTTGGCTAGTTCTATCTATTTTGTCACGTCGTCAAGGGTCTGAATTTTCTTCACTGCCTCTTCGTCCCCATTCAATCAAATCAACAATTTTAACGTGTGTCTTTCGTACAACCTATGATTCGAATTAGTATGAAGCTAATAATCCTTTTTGCACAGTCCCCTACCTCCTAGTCTAAGTATCGTGCTATATGTCCAACTAAGCCTACGTGCAGACCAATTATCGTTTCGCAAGTCCTTCTGATTTGACTCTTCATCTAGTTGACGTACACAGAATGGCCTGAGGGTTCGTTACTACCTATGCAAGTGTTTGAGTATTGGCAACCGCACAGTCGCCCCCCAAAATCGCGCCCCATAGAGTGATTTTGAAAATGATACAACTCGCTCCATATTGGATATATCTATACTAAATTTTATGATGTTATGAATAAGGAGCTGTAATTTCCGTCTATCTATATATCAGGGCTCTGAAATCTCTATGGCAGTCGCGGTTGCCGTCGGGGCCGACCAGTCGTGGGATTGACCGTTTGTTACAACGGGAGTCTATACTTATCGAGACGGAACAAGATAAGTCTAGAAACGCGCCTGGCTTCTCACTTAACGTGGTCAACCACTAGGGTAGGTTTGGCAAAGTGATAGGATACGTATAACAAAGGCACTTCAAGTTGTCGATACAACTTGCTGACTCCTTGACTCCAGGTGATGCTCGCAATGAGACAAGACGTACTGTATGGAAACAGCGTAACAAGTGAAGTCAAGTTCAAAACCGTAACATCCAAATCTATGGGTAAGATTGATGGTAAGAATAACTACGAAGAATCTAAATACATGAGGGAAAGACCGTCCTTAAATATTTCTATCCTTCACAGTCAATTTAGTCGTTTCATACTTTTGGACGTAGTGGACGTTCTGGACGTAACATCTCTTCCTGCGTCCGCTGCGTCCACTGCGTCCACGTCACGTGACCCTGACGTTGCTACTTTTCCCGTAGTTGTGCCGCGTGGTCCTTCTGTCTCCCCACTTGACAACTACATGCTTCCTACGATCTATGGCCGTAACACCGTTTCTACCTCTACTACCTCAATAATGTTATCTAAAAGTTCTATAGCTGGTGGTATAACAATCCGCTTCTTCTGCTTCGGCTGTTGAGGGGGTCTACGTGTTTTTTGAGCTATTTGTTTAGCTTGTTTGGCTTCTACAGTAATATGTTGCTGAGCGTTTTTTGCCTCAGCTACCCTCTCCCTCTCCTTATCTTTTTGTCATTGAATCTTGCGCTCTTTAGCTTGTTCTTCTTTCTCCTCTCTAAGTAGCTGTTCCTGAAGCTTATTATTTACTTTACTAGCTTCTTCTGCAGCTTCATCCTCCTCCTTTTGCCGTACGAAATCGCGCGCTTGGGTAATTTTTTGAGGGCTCCAAAACACCGCGCCACAATCCTCTATGCTAATTATTCGTTGTAAAAAAGGCTTCTGCCGTTTACGTCGCTTCTTCTCGCCATCAAGAGCCTTAATTAAACCGAAGTTCTGTTGTTGGGGGATAGTATTAGAGGTAGAGAGAAATTGAAACTTCGCCTTCATGTTCTTCGACGACAGGGTGCATTAGTTCTATATCAGAAACAACGGTCTCTAGTTTCTTCTCTATACGTTTCCAATCTTTCTCCGATAACACTGATTTAGCTGATTCACTTGAGCTTAGTCTACCGCCTATTTGACTAACTGGTTGCCTCTCCGGCTTTGCTAATCCTTGTAGCACTTCACTCGGATTATATGGAGAGATACCTGTTTTTTTAAAGCTCCCTAGAATGTTTTTCTCTGTAAAAGCCTTCTGGTAAGCGGGCCAGAATAGCTCAAAAAAGTTCCGTTTTGTAATATTCGATATGCCCTGTGATCGGCTTAAAAAGTCGTCGAGATTTTGACTAATACGTGGCGAGAGGAGAGAATAAGGAGACGTTGAGGGACTGCAATCTATACGTAGAGTGAGGAGGATAGTTGCTAATATGATCTTATTGCTTATACAATACTTCAAAAAAGGCATATTGATATGGGAGCCATGGCCATCGACGATAAGAAGCCTCCAAGCTCGACTAGCTTTGGTTTTAGTAGAACGGTCAAAAACGGTCTCCAACCACCTCAATCCGAGCTCGTCATTAGTCCATCCTGTCGGTGAAGCAGTAAAAAAACACTCCTGCTCTTTCGGTCGATAGCCCTCTAACCACGTATCCTGCATCGCTCCTGATATCGAGGGGTAGATGATCCCAGGAGGGATAGCTGTTCCATCTGGACAGATAGTAGCTGTCAGATGGCTGATCCCCGATAGCCTTATATTGGAAGATCGTCAGGATCTTTAGGAGTTCGTGTTGGAGATTTTCAGAGCTAAGTGCTCGGCTCCGACTTATCGGTTAAGTGTCATCAAAACTATAACATTAGCTCACTCTTTTGATGTCATCTCTTATTTTATATCTGACGTAGGTAGTATCGTTATGTTCGCCTTGATTTGGAGATTACGTAGCTAGGCTTTGTGACGTCAAAGGGTTAATCAATAAGGTGGTCTGTCATTATATAAACACTAGATAGAATCCGTAGTTGTACGGAGAATCAAGCGACTGCATTCAGTTACCCACAATCTCACAGTAGCTAGGATCGTAATCCACTCCCGATTTCCGTCCTATGCGATTCCCTTGACCCTCCCACCTTCAAAAGCAGCTTTGCTGTAAATCCTACGTGACTTTTTAAGCATACCTATGAGGAAGCTCTGTTCATCCATATTGTACGTATTTTCTGGTAGGATACTAAACTTATCGAGCTTACGCCCAAGGAGCTCGAAATAGAGCTTGTAAAACGGTCCCTGATCGACCTTATGAGGGGCTAAATCAATAGGACTGAGATAACCAGATTTGAGCTGATCTCCTTAGCGCCCATACTACCTCGTAACCCAGCTATTTCCAGGTCTTTTTCCAACGATATGGCCGGCCAGATTTCGTACAGTTGCAGGCGTAGGAGGGAAAGCACGATCAGTTAATCGATTGATATATTTAATAAGTGTTTTAGACTGCTCCTCGGTCATTAATTTAGAGTTTTCGATTGCTACCTCGCGGGAAACAGTGACATTACGAAAACGCCGCGACAACGTCGTGCGGTCACAATTTTACTCTTTTGCAGTTTGTGTTATATTAGGGATATCTTGAAGCTTTAGACTCTCAAGCGCGGCCTCAATAGGAGTCATATTGGTGGTGGTGGAGTAAAAAGTAGTCCTTATTATTCTCCGGATACGTGAGAACTAAATTTTGGTGGCGACCGTGCACGCTTTGAAACCGTGCACAGCCTGAACAAGACCCTTAAGGAAATTCACCCACGCACTCGAGCGCAGTCTTACGATGTTTAAGCCGACTCATTCAAAGTACCCTATGTTTTTTTTACTTGCCTAAACATGCTAGCATAGTGTCTAGTTCTTGTATGTATAACCCTCTGCGGTAGTAATGGCCAGCAACGTGACAGCAATCCCGACGGGCGTCGAGTTTGGCCCTATCTCTAGCAACAGTGGCGCTGTAGCCGGTTATATCTCGGGCAATGCACAGCTAATCGGTATGTCTCTTATTTGCAGCGATATGTTTTTCATGCTAAGTTTCAGTCAGGCTCCGTGACAGAAACCTATAATATCCATTATAGTGAGTCGTTGCTAGTAACTCCATATTCTACGGAAAGGCTACTAACATCCCGCCGTCTTAATAGAGAGACCGGAGACCCCGCCGAGCCCTTCCTGCAACGTCCCCTTTCGCCGTGACCCAGACTTCGTCGATCGTGGCACGCTACTCGATCAGATACACGAGAAATGCTCTACGCCGGCATCTCGTATAGCGTTAGTCGGCTTCGGTGGCGTGGGGTAAGTGGAGAAAATACTCGGCCTAGTCCTCGCACCTAACGCAGGGATAGGAAGTCGCAACTTGCTATCGAGCACTGCTATCGAACCGCAGATCGATCGCCGGAGACGTGGGTATTTTGGGTTCACGCCAGCAACGCGGCCCGGGTCGACCAAGGCTACCGAGCCATCGCGGACCAAGTCAAGCTGGCTGGTCGGAAAGACCCACAAGCAGATATATTCGAGCTCGTTTCTAGCTGGCTTCGCAACGAGAAGAACGGCAAGTGGCTGCTAGTCCTCGATAATGCCGACGATGCCGTTAGTCTCTCTCTACAAGCGAGCAATAGTCATAAGATACAAGCTAGCGGCGGAGATCGCGCTCGTCAACGGCACCTCGTATCCTATTTGCCCCCGAGCAAGAACGGCGCGGTTATGGTCACTAGTCGGACAAGGAGTACGGCGCTGGAGTTGGTCGAGGACCCCGATATTATAACCATCGAGCCGATGGGTAATATAGGTGCGCAAAGTCTCCTACGAAAGAAACTTGGGGAGGGAATAGACGATGACTGTATAGCCGAGTTGGCGACAGCGCTCGAATTCATGCCACTCGCTCTTGTGCAGGCGGCTGCATACATCCGACAACGGGCACCAAGATGTTCAGTACGGCAGTATCTAGACCAGTTCTACAAGAGCGACAGGAAAAAGACAAGCTTATTAGACTACGAGGGAGGCCGTCTTCGAAGAGACCACGAAGCTAAGAACTCTATTCTTCTAACATGGCAAATCTCGTTCAACCATATACTCCAT